TGGGCTATGTTATGCCAATTGACCTTAGTGTCCCCGAAGACAATGGTCCTGAGCATCCAGGCACAGTGACTCAAGAGTATCTACAAACTTGGGGTGGGGGTGGGGAATGGCAATGTTATATCAGACAGGAAATAATCCCTAAAATTTATAGAAAATATCAACATTTCAACAACAAAAACACAAACAATTCAATTTAAAAATGGGTAGAGGACATGAACAGATACTTTACCAAAGATGACATTCAGGCTTCCAACAAACACTTGAAGTAAGGCTCATGATCATCAACCATTAGAGAGATGCAGATCAAAACAACAATAAGATATCATCTCACCCCAGCAGTAATAACAACGTTTTAAAATAAACAACAAATGCTGGTGAGGACATGGAGAGACTGAAACCCTCATACACCACTGCTAGAACCATAAAATGGTATAATCATTGTGGGAAATGATATGGTGCTTCCTTAAAAATTTGTAAGTAAGAATATCATATAACCCAGCAATCCCACTTGTTATTGTTAGGTACCCATCAAGGTGATTCCAACTCACAGCAGCGCCATGCACTACAGAAAAATCATTGCACAGTCCTGCACCACTCTCACAATTTTTGGTATGTTAGAGCCCAGTGTTGCTCTCATTGTGTCAATCCATCTCATTGGAGATCTTCCTCTTTTTACTACCTTCCACTTTACCAATCATGATGTCTTCTTTACTGACTGGTCCCTCCTGACACATGTCCAAAGTGCAAGAGACGAAGTCTTCCCATCCTTACTTTCAAGGAGCATGCTGTTTGTATTTCTTCCAAGACTAGGTATATATCCTAGAGAATTAAGAGCCAAGACACAAAGAGATATATGCACACCCACTTTCATCACAGCATTCTTCACAATAGTAAAAAGATGGAAACAACCTAAGTGCCCATCAATGAATGAATAAACAAACTATGATACATACACACAACAGAATGTGACACGACACAACAATGAATAACAATGAATCTGTGAAATATCTCTTAACATGGATGAAATCTAGAGAACACTATGCTGAATGAAATTAGTCATCACAAAAGGAGAGATATTGTATAAGACCATTACTGTAAAAAGTCAAGAAAAAGTTTACACAGAGAAAGAATCATTTTTTGAAGGTGACCACAGATGGGAGGGGAGAGGAGGGCAAATCACTAACTAGAGGATTGTTGTTGTTGTTGTTAAGTGCCATTGAGTCGATTCCAATTCATAGCAACCTTGTATAGGGTTTCCAAGGAGCAGTTGGTGGGTTTGAACTGCCAACCTTGTGGTTCACAGTCTAGTGCTAATCCTACAGTACCACACCAGGTAGACAAGTGTTAACTTGAGTGAAGGGGAAGGCAATAAGAGAGAGCGCCACACAAGTTGATAAAGGCAAAGGAAAACACTGAAAGGAGCACAGAAATTAAAGGCAATAAAAGTAAATACTATTACATACACAACACTGCAAAAACAGTAGTAACATGTGCATACATAGATAGACACTCAAGCTGAACAAGACTGGGAAGGCAAATGGGAGTACACACAAATATTTACAGGCTTGACAGAGAATGTTTCTACATGTCCTTCAAATAAGTATATTATATTCATGAATATAATATAACATACAGGGGCAAAGTTATGAAAACATCTTAGCCATAACTAAACACCTAAAGGTATTCATAAGGTTGTTTTTGTTTTCTGGGTTTTTTTTAATGTTTTATTGTGAATTTCATAAGGTTTTTATTGGCTAATTTTCAGAAATAGGTCACTAGTCTGTCTTAGTCTAGAAGCTCTGTGGAAACCAATCCACCATGACTGACCCTACTGAAATACCACTGGTATAGCTTCCAGCATCACAGCAACAAACAAACCACCATAGTACAACTAACTGTGATAGATAAGTGGTGGCTAGCCCCCACTTCTATCACACTGAAAGAATGGCATGGGGATGGCCTCTGACCTCCTTTGAGTTCACAAGGAGGAAAGAGAATCAAATTCCACATCAGCCCAAGGCGGATTCCTATGAGGTGAAGGTCAAGCATGCCTCCAGGCTCTGACCTTCTTTACCAATTTTGACACCAACAGTCTCTCCAGTGACAATCTCTGCTTCTCTGCTGGGATTAGTAATTCACTGCAATGGTCACATCACACAGAACTCATAGGCAATACTCACAATTATGGAGGTTATTAGTGAAGTTAACAGGTTACAATTCAGAGTCAGAAATGTTCAGGACACAGTTCTTACAGGCAGGAGCACCTCTTCTCAGTCTTGTCCGCAAACATGTATCTGGTCCTTGGCCTTTCGGTCTCTGCCCTGCTCAGGCAATGTCACAAAACTCATTTATTGTTGCTAATAAATACCCAAAGGACATTCCACTCCATCATAAGCCTCAGCCCAGAAACGCTCAACTCTATCTTCATGGTTCAGCAAACCTACCTCCCTGAATTAAGTACCTGGAAACACCCCCACTCCAACATCAAGCCTCAAGCTCTACTCACTCCATGAATTGGGAAGCCCATTGCTCTGTCTTGTGCTCTGGCTGTGGGTTCTGCTTCTGCTGCTTCTCTACCACTCCTCTGGTCTCACAGCTGTCTTCTGGATCAAGGAGGTTCTGCGTACAGGGATCTCAGGGTCTAAAGGATGCCCTCCACTACTGACTTTTGGTTCTTGATGATAGTGAGGTCTCCATTCCTGTTTCTGAAATGGCTCACTCATTGGCCAATCCCCATGTTAAAGTTCCAAGTTCTTACAATCACATTTAACCCTGTTAACAATGATTCACAACTGAATCATAGAACTCTATCTCTTACCCAGACCCACTAAGAAAAGTGGAAACACACCCAAATTGCATAGTCCCACGCAGTCATTTGTTGGCAGTTACAAAGACGTGGATGGTGGTGGTTATGTGCCGTGGAGTCAGTTCTGACTCATAACTACCCTGTATGGGGTTTCTAAGGCTGTAAATCTTTACGGGAGCAGAAAGCCTCACCTTTCTCCCGCAGAATGGCTGGTAGTTTTGAACTACTGACCTTGAAGTTAGCATCCCAACTCGTAACCACTATGCTGCCAGAGCTTCTTAAAGACTTGGCTAGAAAAGCCATATGAAGTAAATCACTGCATGACACATACCATGACACTTGTGTTTCCTCTTTCTTGTTATGAGCCTCCTATAGTTATTTGATAGCCATACTTCCTTTATTTCTCCATAAAGACTGAATGTCTGTCTTCTTACTACTGTATCACTAGCACTCAACACATTCAATAAATATTACTAAATTAAAGAATTCGGCCAAAATGTTTTACAGAATCTAAGTTCTGTAACACAATGCAAGTCATATAGCTTGTCTGAGCCTCAGTTTGCTCACATATAAAATGAGGTAAAAATAATAATTTCATGGGGTTGTTCAGAGTAATAAATGATACCTGTCAACAAAGTCCCTTAACACTGTGACTGGCATATAGAAAGCATGTGATTAAAGTATGATTGAAAATAAAGAAAGACTATCGATTTATACTCACATGAGCAGATTTTTGAGGTTGTCACTCTTTACCTTTTCTGATATTTAGTATTATGAATTTTTATTTTAATATTTTTGCAATATTATAGGCAAAATGGCACCTCATGGGTTTAAGCCCATCTGTCAAGTCACTGCTTTTGTTAATAAGAAAGTTGGATCCCCACATGAGGAGGTCCTAGATTAAGTGGGAGAAAAAGTGGGACAACACTCAAAATCATAAAAAAGACTAAGCATCCTGATCTACTGGAGACTGGTGGAGCCCCAAAACTTTCGCCCCTAGTCACCCATCAGGTCTGGAAATGAACTCACTCCCATGGCTTGATTTTCAGCCAAATAGACAAGTCTATGATGGGAAGAATAACAACACTAGGGAGGTACACACACATTAGAATAATCAACCCTTTGAGATAGAAATGGCAGTATTTACCCAATGACACAGTTCAGAAGGGTTAGGAAATAAGAAGGAATGGAAACTAAACACAGGGAGGAAGTGGGACAAATGATGTTACATTGTAGGGATTACAATCAATAACATGAAACAAAATGTGTATGAATTGTTGAATGGAAAACTGATCTGCTCTGTAAACCTTCACCCAATTCACAATTTAAAAAATAAATAAAAAGTTGTATCCTGGTGCTTTATGCTAGATACACCATAGAGCAAATATCCGTGTTCTTTCTCTTGTCATACTGTCCTTTAATGTTGTTACAGCTTCTTTCTGGTAAGGGTAGTGAGTGATATTTGAGAAGATAGCCCCCAATTTAGACATACATCGTGCAAGATCTGGGCAGTTGGATTACACATATTTTTCACAGACAGCTCCAGGTTTTGTCAGAGCCTGTTTTTCAGCACTATGAGAAGGCTGTAGGGCCCAATCCTTTTCTCAACCGACCCAGGTGGCTGCCTCTTCTTTGAATGTTTCCAAGTGACGTATCACCCTTTAGGCTTAGAGGCCCCTCCACACTTCCTGTGTGGGGTTCAGAAGCCTGTCTTTCCTCCTAGCCTTGGGTGCCTGCTTCAGAAAATGGTGAGTCTCCCTCATATAAAGCCTCCCTTTTCATGCTAACATTGGCAGCGATGGCCCCAGGATCCACATGTCCAGCAAATGTTTTGAAAAAATTCTCTGGCTTGTTTTTCAGAAGTAATAAACCTACTCATCACCGCCATCTTAGGTAAGGTTAAGTGTTCAGTAAGAGCAGGATGCAGTTGGACACTCTCTGGGTAGTTCTGGGACTCTGCCTCTTAACAGGTGAGTAGGATGGGATGAAAAGAAGTGGTGTTTCTCCAGACCACTGGGAGGCTCACAACCTTACCTGGGCTGTTCAGTAAAATCAAAGCGCATCATTTACCAGAAAACGTAAGGAACTATTTGGGCTACGATAGGGTGAGGAGTTAGGGCTGGAGGTTAATAAATTAGATGGTCCCAAGTTTCTGGAAGACAGTTCCAGGAACTACCAAAGGAAAAAAGTTGAGATGATCATGCCTGTTGAAAGTAAAGTGGTCTCGCTGCTGGCAAGAACAAGCTTGATCCGTCAGTGAATTTACCGAGTCCATAAAGACTAACATAAAAGAGATTAGAAACCATCACTTAATTCATAATAAAAGCTTTAAAAGAGAGAGAGAGAGAGATTATAAAGCTAACCTCTATGATTTGTTTTGGAGAGATAAGGTATAAGACAAAACAGTTGAGCCCAAACTACACAGCGAATAGCATGTTTAGTATCTGTGAACCAATAAAGCATCTCATAATGGTTAGTCCTTTTAAGTTGGTCAAGAGCCTTTGACCAGTTTAATCCCTTGTGAATCAAAGTAGAATATGAATTGATAAATAATAAAGATAATTTATAACTCACATAGAGATCAATAATACAAAACAGTGGCCATTTATTGAATGCCAGATACTGTATAAAGAAAAATATTTTATATGTGTTAAATAATTTAACCATTGCCTCCACCTCGGAAAATAGTCATTATATCGCCTATTTTACAGAAACTGATACTCCAAAAGTTGAACGATTTGTTTAAAACAACACAGCACTAGTTAAGTGCTGATGCTGGTCTGGAAAGCCAGGTTTGTCTGTCTACAAGACCTGTTCTCTCAAGGGTTGCATATGAGGCAAGATGGTTGGTGATGGTATTGTTTCAGAAAACTAGAAAGCGCTACCTTAGCAGGGTCTCCTATTGCAGTGCCACAGCCATGATGTCTCCACTTCCTGGGTTTTAGACAAGGGTTTCTCAATCTTGACTGTGGACACAAATCACCAGGGGTCTTGTTGAAAAGCAGCCTCTGCTTCAATGGGTCTATCTAAAGTGTGAATTGAGATTCTGCATTTCCAACAAGTTCCCAGGGGATGCTCTCCTACTGGTCAAGAAATACACTTTGAGTAGCAAGGGATAGAATGTGACTTCTGCAGGGAGACATCAGGCATTTTCTGAGAGGCCTGTGGTATAAACTCCACTTTTTCTAAAAAAGAGGGACTATCAAAGACATAAGGAGCTCTAGTAGAGTAGTGGTTATGAGTTTGGCTGCTAACCTCAAAGTCAGAGGTTGGAAATGATCAACTGTTCCTCAGGAGAAAGATGAAGCTTTCTGCTCCAGTCAACATATACAGCCTTGAAAATCCTGTACAGGGTCGCTGTGAGTCGAAACCTACTGCACAGCACATAACCAACCAACCGATTAAAGACAGGGGCCCCATATCTCCTAGAGATTTGGCATCACAAGAATGTGTTTAATCTGCTCTGGTGAGGGGAAGCTATTGGTCCAAGGAAGCCGAGGTCAACAGAAAACATTCAGGCAGTGTAATTGTAATGAATCTGACTTATGGCTGGATGAGGGGGCTCCCAGGGCCCAATGGAAATGTGGTCATGTTTTTCTATGTACATATTATAGTTGATAAGTATTTGAGGTGTCAAATATTTCCAGCTCTGTCTCAAGCAGAAAACAAAGGAAACAACTGAACCATCAGATAAGCAGGAGCCAGAGATGGAAAAAGAAAGCCAACAATATACCGAAACGAGAGCATAATTTTCCTCCGCAGTCAAAGAGCAATTTTCAAAATGAAGCTTGATTGTAAAATTATTTTTCTATTTCTCTACTTGCTAAAAAAAATAGACCCAACAGTTATAACTTCTGTTTGTCAAATATCATTATGTGTTTGTGTTTAATGCTAAATGCTTCCTTGCTCTGCTTCATTCTGAATTGGCCAAGAATCCCTGGAGTGTTATTTCTCAGGTGGTAGGAAAGACTGTGATCCAGCAGTGAGCAGGAAGGATTTTAGAGGTTCATAAATGGTCAGGCTTGACCATAGTTCATTTGCTCTTTGAAATTACAGACACTCACAGCATTTGCTAACACTTTTTTCTTATTATTTCTTTTCTAGGCAGTGCTTGGGTTCAGTCAGGTAAGATATTCTTCCCTTCCTTTTTACAAAATTGGCATTCATTGTGTTTATGAGTAGAGCTTTCTCTAGGCCTCATACAGAGTATCCACAGAAACCTTCTCCTTTGCCTTTTCCTCATAAATTGAGAGATGTTTTTAGTCAGGAAGAATACAGTAACAGAGATCTTAAGAAATAGTGAGACTTTACTATTTAAAAGGAAAACAAAATGGAGACAATTAAGTTGAACGTGCCAACCGTTTTTGTTTGTTTGCATTTCCTACTTGAGATGAGATTTTGTAGAGGGAATGATAACTGGAACACATGTCTAAGAATACACTCGATAAGCCACATTGTACAAGATGTTACTCCATACCTCTGGAGCAACATTTGGACACAGAGTTGGCGTCACGTACCTGAATACTCTGAATTTGTGTGAATGTGTATGTATATGTGTGCACATGCATATGAGTGTGGCTGGCCCAGATTTACTGTCTCAGTTGGAGCAATACAGTCAGGGGTAACTCAGAATTGGAAGTGTCTCTATTCAACCAGCTCCCCCAAACTGATAACCAATTTCGTGTTTAACCACTGTGCAGTCTGATGCACTGCCTAATTTGAGGTGCATATAGGAGTCTTCTTTGTAAATGGTGGAGTTTATTTAGAATCTGGTGTGGTGCTGTTGGTTAATGTGCTGGACGGCAAAGTTCACTTGGACTGGGAGGCCTGAGGTTCAAGTTCACCAGCTGCTCCTTGGAAACCCTATACAGGGTCGCTATGGGTCAGAACCAACTCAATGGCACTTAACAACAACAACATTGTAGACTCTACAGCCCAAAGCAACTTTTCATATGCAGCAATGAGGAATTTGAAGATTCATTGTTTTCTAACAGATAAGAGTCCTAACTCAGGGGAATGGAGTCTGATCTTAGTAACTGATAGGAATGTTGCTAATGGTTTCTTATTATTTCCTTTGCAGAGAATGAAGAAACTGGTAAGAGTGTTTTCACTTTATACAACCTCTTTTTCAAATGTGGAACAAAAAAAGACAATTGTATCTCCCTTCTAATAGCTCTGGTTCTCAATCACTGTGACTGTCCTCCACAACAATTTTGTTCCACATTTGAAAAAGAGGTTGTATAAAGTGAAAACACTCTTACCAGTTTCTTCATTCTCTGCAAAGGAAATAATAAGAAACCATTAGCAACATTCCTATCAGTTACTAAGATCAGACTCCATTCCCCTGAGTTAGGACTCTTATCTGTTAGAAAACAATGAATCTTCAAATTCCTCATTGCTGCATATGAAAAGTTGCTTTGGGCTGTAGAGTCTACAATGTTGTTGTTGTTAAGTGCCATTGAGTTGGTTCTGACCCATAGCGACCCTGTATAGGGTTTCCAAGGAGCGGCTGGTGAGCTTGAAGCGCCGACCTTACAGTTCAAACCAACTTTGCAGTCCAGCGCATTAATCCGCAGCGCCACACCAGGGCTCCAGCTCATAGCAACCCTGTATAGGGTTTCCAAGGAGCAGCTGGTGAACTTGAACCTCAGGCCTCCCAGTCCAAGTGAACTTTGCCGTCCAGCACATTAACCAACAGCACCACACCAGATTCTTTAATAGGGTCTATAAGGAGCTCTAGGAGCTCTGGTAGCGTAGTGGTTACGACTCGGGCTGTGAACCGCAAGGTCAGCAGTTCGAAACTACCAGCTGCTCCGCGGGAGAAAGCTGAGGCTTTCTACTCCCGTAAAGATTTACACCCTCGGAAACCCTGTACAGGTTGCTATGAGTCGGTTCCGACTCCACGGCACATAACAACAACAATAACAACAATGATATATTAAAACTAATTCAGTTTAGTTTCATCTCCAAGTGCCTTTATGATATGAGAACACCAAAAGGCACCTATAGTTAAGATATACATTAGATATACCTGATACAATGCATAAATAATTTGATGTTCATATGCTGAACATGAAATTCCTTGGAGGCATAAATTGTTAAGTACCCAAAAGTTTC